GGAGGAGAGGAGGAGGAGAGGAGCAGGGGGAGGAGGAGGAGAGGAGGAGAGGAGGAGGGGGAGGGGGAGGAGGGAGGAGCAGAGGGCAGGAGAGGGGAGGAGGGGGAGGAGGGGGAGGAGGAGAGGAGAGGAGGAGACGCGACGGCAATGCTCTATTCCCCAATCCATGCTTGCACTGTAGGGGTCCTAACAAATATCCCCAATCAGTGCTTGCACTGAAGGGGTCCTATAGCGGATCTTGAAAGATTTGGCGAAAATGAGCGGCCGATTTCGGTAGGCCGCGTTCTCAAGGTTCCCGGTTCCGGGCTCCCGGGTTCCCGGTTGCTTGTTCCGGGCCGATTTCGGTGGGCGCCGGGGTTCCTGGTCGATCTCCTTATCGATCGGTCTCACCATCGATCTCATTGCCCCCCTCACTTTCGATCTCACAATCGATCTCACGATAGATCTCACAACGGCTCTTACTAATTATAGATCGCGCAAGCGATCTCACGATCGATCAAACTATGTCGATCTCACTGAACCGACTTCACGATCGGTCTCACATAAACCTTACTCTCGTCCTCACGGTCGATCCCACTATCGATCTCACTGTCGATCTCACACTCGATCTCAATATCCATAACACTAGATTTGAAGACCGTCCACTGGTTGGTGTAATTGGACGATTTGCGAGAATTCGCCGCCGATCTCGGTAGGCGGCCGGGATCCCAAGTTCCTGGTTCTGGGTTCCAGGTTCCCGTTTCCAGGATTCCGGACTGGTCTTGGCGAAAATTCGCCGCCGACTTCGGTAAGCGGCCGGGTGCACTGATTCGCAGTTCTGGGTTCAGGGTTCCCGTTTCCGAATTCTGGACTGGTCTCGGTGGGCTACTGGGTTCCTAGTTCTGGGTTATGGGTTCCCGTTTCCAGAATTTGGATTGGTCTTGGCGGGCGACTGGATTCCCGAGTTCCCAGCTCCTGGTAACAGGGCTCGCCATGTATTCATGTGTATACATATATACAGACAGTCAGACAGTCAGACAGACAGACAGACATATACACATACACACATGCACACATACACACATACACATACATACGAGAGAGCGTGATCCACCGCCGCTTTACTGTGGAAAACTGCCAACCTTCTCCTCTGGAACCCGGGGGTCCCGCCCCCCCCCCCCCCCCGCCCCCCCCCACCCCCCCCCACCCCCCCCCCCCCCCCCCCCCCCCCCCCCTCCGAAAATCCCCCCACCCCTGCATGGACCCCCCGCCTAGTCCCCACCCCCCCCCCACCCCCCCACCCCCACCCCCCCCCCCCCCCCCCCCCCTCCCACCCCCCCAACCCCCCCCCCCCCCCCCACCCCCCCCCCCCCCCCCCCCCCCCCCCCCCCCCCCCCCCCCCCCCCCCCCCCCCTCACCCACCCCCCCCCCCCCCTCCCCCCCCCCCCCCCCCCCCCCCCCCCCCCCCCCCCCCCCCCCCCCCCCCACCCCCCCCCCCCCACCCCCTCCCCGGCAAAAACCCCCCCTCCCCTAACCCTCCCCCCCCCCCCCCCCCCCCCCCCCCCCCTCCCCCCCTCCCACCCCCCCCCCCCCCTCCCGCTCGAAAAACGGGGGGGGAAAAACGGGGGGTCACTACCGTTTCGAAACCCTCCCCCCTCTCTCCCCCTCCCCCTCGAAAACCAGAGGGGGTCACTACCGGTTCGAACCCCCCCGGGGTCACTACCGGTTCGAACCCCTCCCCACCCTCCCCTCTCACCGCCAGCAAACGACTCCCGGTCCCTACCACCGTCCTCACCACATCCCCCACTGTTGTTCCCAGCACCACTGTCCTCACCACCACTGTCCCCACTGGTTCCACCACCGCCCCTACTGTCCCCACCAGTGCCACCACCACTGTCGCACTGTCCCCACTGTCCCCACCACTGTTCCCACCACGGTTCCACTCTCCCAACTTTCTCCACGGCCCCAACCACTGCCCGACTATCCCCACTGTCCCCACTGTCCCACTGACTCCTCCGCTGTCCCACTGAGCTGTCCCACTGTTCCCACCACTGTCCCCACTGTCCCCACCACTGTCCCCACTGTACCTCTGTCCCATTGTCCCACCGCCGTCCTCGCCACCGCCTTCACCACTGTCCCCACCACCATTGTACCCTCCACTGTCCCACTGTTTCCACCTCATTCCCACTGTCCCCACACCACTGTCCCCACCACCACAGTCCCCACCACTGTCCACTGTCCCCCCTGTTCCCACCATTGTCCCCACCGCTGTCCCCACCACTACCGTCCCCACCACTGTCCCACTGTCCCACTGTTCCCACCACTGTCCCGCTGTCCCCTCACCACTGTCCCCACCAACACCGTCCCCACCACTGTCCGCACCCCCACTCGGTTTTCGAGGGGGGGGGGTTCGAACCGGCAGTGACCCCCCCCGGTTTTCCGGATCCGGAGGGGGGGGGGGGTTCGAACCGGTAGTGACCCCCCCCCCTTTTCATGATGAAGCAGGGGGGGGGGGGGGAGGGGTTCGAACCGGTAGTGACCCCCCCCGGTTTTCCGGAGGAGGGGGGGGGTGGGGTTCGAACCGGTAGTGACCCCCCCCCGGTTTTCCGCCAGCAGCGGTAGAACACGCTCTTTCATACATACATGCATACATACACACATACATACATACATACATACATACATACATACATACATGCATGCATGCATGCATGCATGCATACATACATACATACATACATTCATACATGCATGCATACATGCATACATGCATATGCATACACACACGTACACCCATACATACCTACACAAGTACTCATGCATCCATGCACACACGCATACATGCATATACATATATACATGCACACATGCATACATACAAACATGCATGCATGCATACAAACATCGATACATCCATACACGCCTACACCTACACATACATTCATACATGCACGCATATCTACATACATACATGCAAACATACATACACACATACACACATACAAACATACATACATACATACAGACAGACAGACAGACAGGCAGACAGACAGACATGCATGCATGCATGCATGCATGCATACATACATACATATATACACGCATACATACATGCAAACATTCTTACATATACATCTACATACACACATCTACGTGCATGCATACATGTCTGCATACAGACGTACGTACAAACATGCATGCATACATACATGCATGCGTACACTCAGATACACATGCACACGTACATGCATACATGCATACATCCAATCACACACAGACATGCATACCACGTACATACATGCATGCATACATACATACGCGCATGCATGCATACATACAGACAGGCAAGCGCAAATACATACATACATGTCTGCACGACTACGTGCATGTAAACATACATACACACATACAAACAGATAAACATAGATACGTGTATGCAAACATATATACACGCATACACGCATACACACATACGCACACACCAATCCATACATACACACATCCATTCATGCATACATACATGCGTGTATACATGTTCGCATCAGTGCATGAATACATACACGTATACAGTCACACATACATACACGCATGCACACACACATACATACACTCATACGTACATGCATATATGTACACAACTAGTCCCACATACATGCACGCATGCATGCATACATGCATGCATACATGCATCCATACATACATGCATCGGGAGAGGGGGGAAGTGAGAATAACTAAAACGAGAGAGAGAGAGAGGTCATAAGGGAGAGAGAGAGAGAGAGAGAAACAAAAAAAGAGAGAAACACATAAAAGAGAAGGAGAGGGAGGGGGAAGGCGACAGGACGAGAGTCCAAGTACCCCAAAAGCGTCCCAGGCGCCCGCAGGCACGCGCGCGTGTGCAGTCAGGGCCAGTGCGAGACTGCCCGCCGAGGAATCCTGCCAGCGCGAGGCTCTGCCGGCGCGGGCCTCGGAGAGGGTGCTGCCCGAAAAGGGCTGAGTTTTTGTATATATATATATATGTATAGTAACACACATACATATACTATGTATACAAATACATACACACATACATACATACATATATACATACATACATACATACATACATACATACATACACACACATACATACACACATACATACATACACATATACACACATGCATGCATGCATGCATGCATGCATACATACATACATACATACAGACGTGCAGACAGACATACATACATATACATACATACGTATGTTCATGTACATATACCTCCTAGATGGGGTCGTAGTAGATGGGGTCGGGGGATCGCGCCGCATCACCGATGCGTCGGCGATGCATCGGCGACGCACTGGCGATGCATCGGCGACGTGGGCGATGCATCGGCGACGTCCGCGCCAAGGCCATCGGGCTCCACATCGAGCCGCGTCAGCGCCGCCACATCGGGCTCCACTGACTGATCTTCTCCAGACAGTTCGCAAGGCCTGCACGCATCAAGCGATTGCCAGAAAGATAAACAAGATGTGTTATCCATCTAGGAGGCCTAGAGTGTAGCTCGGGGGGGCCCGCGCACTCTGGCCGACGCTGCGCACCGGTGGAGTCGTCTGCACGCCACTGGCTGGGGGGGCTGCCGCAGGGGCGCATCGCCCAGGGAGGGGGACACTACAGGTGTCCGGGGGCTCCGACCGCCCATGTGTCCGGCGAGGCTCCCGCGCGAGGAAGGAGGAGGAGGAGGAGGAGGAGGAGGAGGAGGAGGAGGAGGAGGAGGAGGAGGAGGAGGAGGAGGAGGAGGAGGAGGAGGAGGAGGACGAGGACGAGGAGGAGGAGGAGGAGGAGGAAGAGGAGGAGCGGAGGAGGAGGAGGAGGAGGAGGAGGAGGAGGAGGAGGAAGAGTGGAGTGGAGTGGACGCCATCACGAGGTGATATGTCAAAACATAAAAACCCCACACTGCCAGGGCCTATGCAGTGTGTTGGGAGAGACCTAGTGCACCTCTGCCGCTCCAAAACTCAAAAGGCCGAGGAGGGGAGGGGACGCTCAGAGGTGCACGTACACGTCCAACGCCTCCAGGACCAGCCCCCCCCCGAGGGGAGGGGGCCCCCCTGCCACCCGCCAGGCACGCCAGGCGCTGGTCGGGGACACAGGACACCCCTCGCCACCAGGCGGGGCGGGTGCCCTGGCCTGCACCCCCCAGTCCCCTTGCCCAAGGGGGACAGAGCAGGACTCCCCGTGAGCCTGGCCGAAGCCAGACCCCCCCTCCACACCCTGGCGCGACCGGGGGGCCGCTGGGCCAAGACAGTGGAGGGGGGAGGAGGAGGAAGAGTGAGAGGAGGAGGAGGAGGAGGAGGAGGAGGAGGAGGAGGAGGGAGGAGGAGGAGGAGGAGGAGGAGGAAGAGGGAGAGGAGGAAGAGAGGAGGGAGGAGGAGGAGGAGGAGGAGGAGGAGGAGGACGACGATTCAGGACGATTCAAGATGAAGACAGCAGAAGTCTAGGATCGGATGGCGAAGCCTATCGAATTGGCAGGAGGAGGAGGAGGAGGAGGGGAGGAGGATGAGGAGGAGGAGGAGGAGGAAGAGGAGGAGGAGGAGGAGGAGGAGGAGGAGGAGAAGAAGGGAGGGGGAGCAAAAAAGGAGGAGGAGGAGGAGGAGGAGGAGGAGGAGGAGGAGGTATCCCCGCCATCCCCTCCTCCTCCTCCTCCTCCTCCTCCTCCTCCTCCTCCTCCTCCGACCGCCCATGTGTCATGCCCAGCCCCCTGTGCCATCCAGCCCCGTCGCCACCTCTAACAGGCGGCATGCGGGCCGTGCCCTGAACACCCAATGTGCCAGCACACCGCCGCTCGGGAGCTCTGGTCGTGCTCGGACCTCCGTCCGGGGCTTCGACCACCCGAGGTGCACCGTTGTCAGCAGCAGGGGGAAGTCGAAGAGGAGGAGGAGGAGGAACAGAGAGGGGGCTTGGCATGAGGAGAGGATGGTCCTGAGGGCACGAGGTCCCGCACCCTGGAGTCTCCTCAAGATACAAGTGCCCACCTCCCCATTCCTTGGTCTATCAATGGCGACGACGAGGAGGAGGACAATAACGAGAAGGACGGGGAGGTGGATCTGGCCTCCCCGCTGGCCATCCCCCAGCTGCTCCTGCCGTGGCTCAGACGTGCGTGATACCAGATGGGAAGCTCGGGCTGCTCCTGCTGCTCCTTCTATTCCTTTTACTTCCAGCCTGGCTGCACTGGAAATCTACCTTCCCCCCTACCCTCAGGACCGCGTGCGTTTAGGAAGGAGGCGAGGACGTAGGAGGAAGAAAGTGGCCGTCACTAGTTTGTTTTGTTTTCTCTACCTATCTCTTTCACTCTCTTTTTCCCAACCATCCTGTGGTGTTGGGTCCTCGTTTTGAAGAGACGGTGCCCCGCGTCTCCTCCTCCCGCTGCCCCCTCCCTCCTCCGTCCTCCCCCTCATTGCCTCTGCCATGCGTCCCGCGCACCTATTTCGGCACACCCCTCACACGTTTCGTGGCCCCACAGGGAACCCCACCGAAGGTCCCACTGGGTGTGCCCGCATGCGTCCCGCGCACCAATTTCGGCACACCGCTCACAGGCTTCGTGGCCCCATACGGAGCTCCACCGAAGGTCCCAGTGGGTGTGCCCGCATGCGTCCCGCACACCCATATCGGCACACCCCTCACACGTTTCGTGGGCACATAGGGAGCTCCACCGAAGGTCCCAGTGGGTGTGCCCGCACGCGTCTCGCACGCCCATTTCGGCACACCCCTCACACGCTTCCTGGCCCCATAGGGAGCTCCACCGAAAGTCCCAATGGGTGTGCCCGCATGCGTCCCACACACCCATCTCGGCACACCCTTTCACGCGCTTCGTGGCCCCATAGGGAGCTCCACCGAAGGTCCCAGTTGGTGTGCCCGCACGCGTCCCGCACACCCATTTCGGCCCACCGCTCACACGCTTCGTGGCCCCATACGGAGCTCCACCGAAGGCCCCAGTGCCGCCGCCCGCATGCGTCCCGCACACTAATTCCGGCACGCCTCTCACACGTTTTGTGGCCCCATAGGGAGCTCCACCGAAGGTCCCAGTGGGTGTGCCCGCATGCGTCCCGCACGCCCATTTCGGCACACCCCTCACACGTTTCGTGGGCGCATAGGGAGCTCCACCGAAGGCCCCCGTGGCGCAGTCCGCATGCGTCTCCCCCACCCAGTACACCTCCGTCGGAGGCCGTCGGACTTCCGCGCCTCGCTCGCCCGTCGTCGCTCTGCCCAGCGGCAGGAGCCTTGCCCGCTATCAGCCAGCCAGCTAGCTCTCTTTGCTGCGCGCAGCGGAAGACCCGCGCGCGTCGCTGGGACCCCCCCAGGGCGACCTGCGCGCGTCGTTGGGACTCCGCGCTGCGCTGCGCCCGCAGCCTTGGACTTTTGAGCGCGCGGGCAAAAAGGGAGTAAAACAAGGGGAGGAAGCGGGCGCGATCCTCGCGGTGGCGTCGCGGCGCGCGGGCGATGCCGTCGGGGAGTCCCAGGGAAGCTCCTTGCGGCGGCCACGCCCACCGTCACGAGTACTCAGAGGCAGTCATTTTCAAACTATTGACATTCATATAAAATTGTACCATGCTTTGTCATACTCGCATTCATGCACGTAGACTCGCTCGCACGCAGATTCATTCACAGTCAGACGCACTCGCGCTCAGATTCGCCCGCGCTCAGTCTCCCTACGTACTCAGATCAATCGTTTTCGTTCGCGTTGTGTACCACGCCACTCATTTCGGCACACCCCTAGCACGGTTCGTTGCCTCATAGGGATCATCACCGAAAAGGGGGATCACAATTGCGGTACTCACACCTGCATATGGTTGGGTCCTTCGTCAAGCTAATGTTGCTTCTCTCTCTCTGTCTCTGTCTCTCTGTCCGTCATTATACCTGCCTGTCTGTCTCTGTCAGCCTGCCTGTCCGTCTGTCGACCTGTCTCTGTCTGCCTGAATGTCTGGCGCGTTCGTGCGTCTGTGTGTCTGTGTGTGCGTCTCTCTCTGTCTCTCTCTCTCTCTCTCTCTCCTTCTTTGTCTCTCTCTCTCTCTCTCTCTCTCTCTCTCTCTTTTTTCCCAACCCTCCTATGGTTGAGTATTCGTTTTGAATAGAGCAGTGTGGTCGCCCCGTCCTCCTCCTCCTCCCCCTCCTCCCCTCCTCCTCTCCTGTTTCTTGTGTTCCCCTCTCCTCTTTTCTCGTGCCGTCGGGCTGCGATCTGCGCAACTGTCGCCAATTTCGGTGGGCTCCTGGGAGGCCCAGCAGAGGTACGTCCCACGCGGACCACCTCGAGACCTCGCGGCGCCCTGGGGGGCTGCGATCTGAGCAACTGTCGCCACTTTCGTGGGCTCCTGGGAGGCCCAGCGGAAGTACGTCCCACGCGGACCACCTCGAGAACTCGCGGCGCCCTGGGGGGCTGCGATATGCGCAACTGTCGCCACTTTCGTTGGCTCCTGGGAGGCCCGGCAGAGGTCCGTCTTACGCGTTGCCGCTGCTCTTCTTGATGCGCTCTTCTGATTTCACTGCTGGGTGCTCTTCTTCCGCACTGCGGGCTTTCCAGCATGCCCGTCAGCATGGAGCGGTCCTGAGTGTGATCACCACGTGTATAGACAGGGTTGGGTACGTCGCGGGGCAATTCTCTCGGGATCTCGTCCCAAAGGCCCCGGCAGCGGTGCGCGGGGGGGGGGGGGGGCACATGCGAACCCCACCCCTACCCCCCACGATTTCCGAGGGGGAGGGGGGGGCTCACTTCGCTCGGGAGCGCCCGAGCCACGTGGACCCCCCCCCCTCTCAGAATCCGTGGGGGGGGTAGGGGTAAGGGTTCGCGTGTGGCCCCCTGGCGGGGGGGGGGAGGGCTGCCCACCGCGAAGCCCGTCATCACCCTGTCGTGCAGGTAGACGTCGCCCTGGGCGCGCGCCCGGGGGGGGGGCGGGGGGGGCGGGGCCGTACGCTGGCGCACTCTCCGACCGAGACCACCGTGGCGCCGTGTCTGGGCCGGGAGTTCCCGGGCCGCCGCGGGCGATTGCCAGAAAGATGAACAAGATGTGTTAGCCAATGTGGGCCCCAGACAGTGAGCTATTGCACTGCGGAAACGAAAACTACGCGGTGCAAATCACCGGGACTTGCAGTCGTCAGCCGCAATGCTCGCACAAGCATCCCGCCTTCCCCCCCACAACTTGGTTCTCAAAACCCATCTGGCCACGATTGCGGCTGCTGATTGGAACTTGCTGGCTTATCTCTGGGGCCGCACTGGGGCGCGCCCGCCCACGCACAGAAAAGCCAGTTGGGCTGGCGCAAGTTATGCGGCTGCGACGGCGCTTACAGGTGGGAATTTCCAAGCGCGTCTCAAAGTCCGCGCTGGCGCGCGGCACTTCCGTGCGGGTCGCCAACTCCGGCGGGTACGACATCATGATGCCGTCGGCAACGGCGACGACGTCGACGATGACGACGACGATGACGGCGGCAGAGATAGTCCCGACGAGGGTGATGATAATGATGATGCCGATGACGATGGCAGCGATGACGCTAACGACGATGAGAACGACTGCGCTGGAGGAGGAGGAGGAGGAGGAGGAGGAAGAGGTAGAGGTGGAGGAGGAGGAGGAGGAGGAGGAGGAGGAGGAGGAGGAGGAGGGAAGAGGGTAAGGGAGGAGGAGGGAGGAAAGTGCGCGCTCGCTGGACTCAAAGCATCCTGGCATGATCTCGGCGGGCGCGCCCGGAAGCGTGCGCACGTGGCCAGCACATGGCACGATCTGGCACACTTCGGGGGCGCGTGGATGGTGGCGGAACGTCGTCGACCTGCGCGTGCGAGTGGCCCGACTGGTCCGATTTGACAGACTGGCTGGACACCGACGATTCCCTAACGATTTCAGCGAGTGCCCCGATTTCTGGCAATGTCTTTGTTGGAACATCCAAAGGTGTGTGATATTGTTTGAGTGAGCGCACAAGCCTTTGAGATGTTCGATATTGTTTGAGATTGTTTGATATTGTTTGATGTTGTCAGAGGTTGTTTCAGATTGTTTGAGATTGTTTGGGTGATATTGTTTGACATTGTTAGATATTGTTTGACATGTCTTGACGTGCGCGAGCGGCGGCACGCGCGTGGACTCTGTGGTACATTGTATCGCAAAAGGGGCTATTGGAACATCAGACGTTTGAGATGAACGAGTGCGCGCGCGTAATATTCGTTGACAGGGATCCAGGGTGGTGTCGAGGCTGGCTGGGCGATGCTGGTGTGATTTCATATGGAAGAACGATGGAACAGAATCATGGGTAAAAGTGCGATGGGAGGACCGAAAGATTTGGGCCCGCATGAGCCCGTCCTGGTCTTCGGAATCGCGGGGGGGGTGAGGAGGGGGGGGAAGGGAAACACCGCGCAGCGCGCAGGAGAGACGACAAGAAACAAAACGTGCAGACGAGAGGCGAAGTTGGCGGGCGTTCTCGGGAGAGGGGGGGCCAGAGGGAAGGATGCGGTTTCCTCCATGACCCAAGCCTCTCACTCCACCGCCGCCGTCCTCCGCGCCTCCCCCCACCCGTTTGGCCCCCCTCCCTAGAACACCCCCCCTGCCCCCCCAACTCAAAGTTGGCACGCGGGGGGGAGACTGCAGTCGAGGTGCAACTCATCAGACCCACCGCCAACTTTGAACATTGGGGGGGAGGGGGAGGCGTTCACAGATGAATGTGGCATGAGTGTTCGCTATTTTTGTTCCGAGGCCTGCATCTCTTACCGCTCCTCCCACCCGCCCCCTGCCCGCCCTTAGTCGTATCCCTGACACTTTGCAAGTCTGAGGTTGGCGCCCGACGGTTCCGATTCCACCGCCTTCCCCCCCGCGCCAGGGGGGGGGGCCAAGTTCCGAAGCCGTTGAGGAGTTCCGCTCCACCCGCCGCTCCAGCGGGGGCCTTGGTGCTGTCGTCGGCTTTCCTATTCGGCTAGACGCAAGAGTGACCCTGGGTAAGAATGACCTTTGGTGCGCAGCTTTCGGGGGCGAACGGGAGCCAGACCCAAGGGCGCGGGCCGCCTATACCGCATCGCGCTCGGCGATCGGGGGGACCCCGCTGATCCCGCACCAAAGGTCACTCTGGCGAAAGGTCACTCTTACGTGTAGTCGACCAATGTCACCAGGGACGAGACGCCGGCACCGGCATCGAGATCCTGCTGGACAAAATGGGGGGTCCTTCCCCTGCGCGGGCGGAGCGGCCCAGCGGAACCCGCAGAACGTGGGGTGGCTCGCATGGCGCGCCAGATGGTGTCCCAGTGGTGTCCCGATGGTGCCCCGATGATGTCCCGATGGTGTCCCAATGGTGTCCCGATGGTGTGCAGATGCTGCCCCGATGGTGCCGATGGTGCCCCGATGGTTGTCCCGATGGTTGCCCCGTGAGATCGATATGCAAATAGATACTGGGAGAGATTGATAGTGAGGCCGATCGATGGTGATATCGTCAGATGTAATGGATACTGAGACCGATTCATAATGAGACTGATCGCTTGATATCTGATAGTGCGACCGACGGTGAGATCATATCTACGAACAGATTTTCATGGTGGTGTCCCGATGGAGTCGACATGGTGTCCCGATGGTGTCCCGATTGTCGCCATGCATCGTCACCATCGCAATCGGCATCATGCATCGTCATCAGCAGCATAATCATGCATCGTCACCAGCTCGCGAACGCACCACCAACATCGACACCATCACAATCATCGCAACTGCCGTTAGCTGGCTCACCCCCATAACCGGCTCATCACCCGAGCGGTGGCCGTACAGATAAGCTACGTGGTGTAACTCATCTCGCGTCAGCTAGGCGGCGTGGGCTCCGCCGTGCACGCTGTGTGGTGCACGCTAGGTGGTGTAAACTCAGAGCAGTGGGGCGCCCACGACACGGCACGCGCGGCAGCGTGGCGCAACCTCGTGTGACCAACGCAGCAGCAGGAGGAGGAGGAGGAGGAGGAGGAGGAGGAAGAGGAGGAGACAGAGGAGGAGGAGGAGACAGAGAAGGAGGAGGAGGAGGAGGAGGACATGAAGCGGCACGGGCGGCAACGTGGCGCCTGACCCACCCAGCGCGCGGGGGCGCCCACAAGCGCCCCCGGAGCGGCAAGCGGCGGCAGCGCGGAAGATCCTCGGCCACCGCGTTCGAGCACTGCGGGATGACGATGAATAAAAAATGGGAGAGAACGATAGAAAAATAGTTTTCTGCTATTTCTGCATAATTTTCTGACTGGAGGGGAACGATTAAAAAATAGTTTTCCAGCCCGCGGCTGGTTTCCTCTAATCGTCATCCCGGGCGCCGCCGCGTGAACACGACCCCCGGTCATTTAGTGATCGTCATCCTCCAGTACTCGAGGCACAGAAATCGTGAATCCCTGGATGCAAGCACTGCCTGGGGCAAAACTGGCGTCCTCCTCCTGTGATGGGCGTGTTTTCCACCACCACCACCATAAGTTGGAGTTGGGAAGGAGGAGGAGGAGGACGAGGAGGAGGAGGAGGACGAAGAGGAGGAGGAGGAGGAGGAAGAAGAGGAGGGCACCCTCCCCCTCCAACTTATGGTGGTGGTGGTGGAAAACAGGCCCATCATCCTGACTGCACCTCTGGCGAACACGGGGCCAACCTCGCGCGCACATCCCCGTGCACGGCTCGGGAGAAGCGCGGGCTTCCTGGAAGGGAGAAGACTGGGCACACACGCGGAGGGCATGATCGGCGGCACGTGGACGAACCACACCCACCAGGATTAAAACGAAGGGGGAAGAGAGGATGGTAGAAGGAAACATCGCAAGACTATTTGGACGCCCGAGTTATCCGGGGTAACTCGGGTCCGGGGTAACTCGGGTTTGGATTCCCGAAAAAGGAACCCGAGTTATCCCTGACCCGAGTTACCCCTGATGATTCGGGGCTCTGGACGCCCGAGTTATCCGGGGTAACTCGGGTCCGGGGTAACTCGGGTTTGGACTCCCGAAAAACGAACCCGAGTTATCCCTGACCCGAGTTACCCCTGATGATTCGGGGCTCTGAACTATCATCGATGAGGGATGCGAGCAGTGGCTTGCTGGGCCAGAAAGCGTGGAGGAAAAGATGCTGAAGCACCCGCCGGCGCACCGGAACTCCGCTCATCGCGTTCAGCTCAATACAAGAGAGGAATCCGAACTTCTTCTCGTGGTTATAGCTCTTGATGGTGCCGACCCAGGTCCCGAGCACCTGCAGCTCCCATGGGCGCAGTCGCAGTCCGACGGAGAAAGGCGTGAAGAGATCGGGCGTCAGGTAATGGGAAGAAAGTTGATGTTCGGGGGTGGAAGGGAGGGGCAGGGAGGATCGCGGAACTACCAGTCCCAATTCCTCGCGTGGCATCAGGCCTACCGAGGCGCGAGTAACCGAATGACAGACCAAAGAAGCGACCGCCTTTCTATGACCATAACCCTTGGGGGTAACGTGACCGCGCCATCATCGCAAACGCAACCACCAAGACGTCCGTCTGGCTTGACGGCATGCATTCGAGAGCGGACGGTGTGCTTCTGACGCTTGCCGCTTTCGGCACAACCGCGACACACATGACTCCAAACTCTCGTGGGGAGGGTACTCGAGGAGGATCCGCAGGGTCCTGGGTTGTTCTAGTGGGAAGCGGCCGTTGGATGCGATAATGACTGAATCAAGCTTGCATCAGGCGTGGTGATGGTATCCTTTGTGCAGGGTAGGGGGGGGGAATTGGGTGATGGCACAGCACCCCCCCGTCGGCAACTGCACTGGCACTGGCACGTAGACCCTAAACCGCAATGCGATATGAGAAGGCACGCCGTGTGCGATCTCTGCCCCGACGCTGGTGCGGATCGCCTCCACCTAGCCGCCGACGGGAAAGGTGTGCGACTTCTGCCTCCAAGGCTACGCCAGCGGCGATGTGTTGCTGAACGGCGATGTTGGGAACCAACTTGTATTATGTCGGGCCTGTCCCCCTACAGGGGGATTTTCGACGAAAAATAAAAAATACCCCCGAAATAATCAAAACATAGTCCAAAAATAGTCTGCGGACTATTTGTGGGGTATGGTTTGACCTTTTTGGGGCATTCTTGGAATATGTTTCATGTTTCGTCGAAAATCCCCCTGTAGGAGGACACGCCCGACCTAAAACTTGTAGGACATCTCCATCCACACTCTCCTGCCTCTCCAAATGCGCAGACGTGCCGAACGAAGACAGCACAGCGAGAAACGCAGGAAAGGCACGGGCTGCGCGCTCCCCCACGGCACCGACACCCACACCGCCGTTGCTTGGGGGGAGGAGACGGTACCTACCGGGGGGCTGGGGTGGAGGCTGAGGGGGTGGGGAATGGGGACCGAGGAGGTGGAGGGAGGAGGAGGCGGAGGAGGCGGAGGAGGAGGAGGAGGAGAAGGAGGAGGAGGAGCAGGAGGAGGAGGAGGAGGAGGAGGAGGAGGAGGGCAGAGGGGGGGAGCAGGAGAAGGGGAGGGAGGAGGAGGAGGAGGAGGAGGAAGAGGAGGAGGAGGAGGAGGAGGAGGAGGAAGAGGAGGAGGAGGAGGAGGAGGAGGAGGAGGAGGAGGAGGGAACGGCACGTGCACGGCGCGCGGGTGGCACCGCCTTCGCCTCGCTGGCCCGGCACGACGCGGCCCCGGCCGCGGCACGGGCAACGGGAGCACGAGCACGGAGCGCTGGCGGCAACCGCCTCGCCCTTCCAGACACTGGGCACGGCACGGTACGACCAGCGGGTGGTAATGCTTCCGACTCCCGGAAATCGGCGGCGAGCGAGGGGGGGAGAGAAATGCGGAGGAGAAGGCCTCACTCGGGGACCTTCGGACCCGGGACAACTCAGACCCGGGTCAACCAGGCCTTGCAGAATCCTGCAGGATCCTGCAAGATCCGCACCCACACCCGGATCAATTCGAAGGAGCCTGCAAGATCCTGAAGGATCCTGCACCCAGACCCGGGTCAATGCGACCATGTCCCTGCAGCGTCCTGCAAGATCCGGCGCTCTGGCTGTCCCCCGTTTCCACTGACCCCCGTCTCTTGAGCCCCGACTTATCAGAAGGTTCGGAAGCCCCCCCCTTGCCTTCTGAGAAGTGTTCTCAACCCTCCCCGAAGTTACACAAAACCTCTCAGAAGGCGCCACAAGTCTTCTGGAAAGTCCCGCCGCCTTCTGACAAGGCCTTCTCCTTCTCACAGCCCCCCCCGGGCTCGCTGCCGACAGAACCTACACAGGGCACGGCACGGCACACGAGTACCGCACGCCACGGCACGCGGACGACACTTTCCCCACACCTCAAGAACTAGGCACGGCACCGCACGGCGCGGGCGGCTTCCCCTTCCGTCTGCCGGACCCACCTGTCTCAGGATGATTGAGACCCCCTTCCAACACTCGCTGTTCAGGTGACAACGCTCACGCACGGAATTATGAGAGAGCATTTCCTGGCAACCGCAATGGGAAACGCGATGAAGGCACCCACCCCCTACATGTCGCTCCTGCATGTCCCCTTCATCAGATTCCAAGATTCCACGTCGCTTCTATCCTGAGCGTCTCCATACATGTCCTCAGGGAGTCTCCTCTACGAACTATCATGTAGAAACTGCTCACCTAATTTGGCACCTCAAGATCATGTGAACCGCTGGGACGTTTATCCGACAGACCTCTGCCGATGCCGCACGCAAGCTCCAGCTGAGCCAAGGCACCGAGGGCTCGTGCGCAGGGCAGCACCCTGCACGTCACTCCGAGATCCTATGGAACTGGGACGTGAGACGATGCTCGCCTGCTGCGTCCGACCACTCATGATGAACGACGTGCGTGTGTGTGAGTGTGTGTGTGTGCGTGGGTGCTCATGCGTTGCTGCTGCCTCTTTGCAACGCTGGTTCTAGATGTCAAAAAATCCACCCCCATAATAACCACCCCGACACGCGAAGTCGTTAGTAAACGCGCCCAAAGAAGAAATCGAACAGGGCAAGGCGGCTTAGTAAACGCTCAGGGCCATTCAGCAAACGCCAATTATCGGGTCCGGGTGGTTTTTTCCCCCCTTGAGGTTCCTCACAACCAGTGAGCTCGATTTACACACCCTGTCCTTCGCCAACGGCATAGAATCGTGCGAGGCATGCGTGCTGGACCCGCGCCGCTTCTCTGGATTACAGAGTGAATGCATGGCCTCGAGGCGAACACCTGTGCGTCTCGCATTGCCTCCAGACGATCCGATGACGTCGTTGGGGGGACTGCGCGAGCACGAAGCTGGGGGAGGCTTCACTACAACCACAACTTGCACTACGATAGCTGCTGCTTGAATTACTTGCGCAAGCACTTGCGCCACATAGATATGGACACATTGATTGATTGGATTTGGTTTGGTGCGGTTCTGTCGGATCCGGTTTTGAAGCATCCAAGGCGATAGGATGTGATTGGCTCTTGGAGTCACAGCTGCTTCATCTTATTGGTTGCAATAATGAATTATCGATATATTCATTGGCTGATTGCGCACCAGAGTGGCACAGTCCGTTCAGCGAGGCGGCCAACTCTCACCAACCCTTTTGACGAACCTTGTTTGGGGAGGCCCATATTCCGCTCCGTTAAGAATTTTGCCGTCCACCGTGGTGCTCTGGACTGGATGGGGCCATGCGGAGCTGGTGCTCAAACTACGCTGAGTGGTATCCAAGATGGCGCCAGATGGTCCGCCTTGGACGGGACTACCTCCAGCATGGCTCGAGGAGGCACCAGACGTCCCCTCGTTTAGTCCCGAAAGCCCCCTCGAACGTCTCAACGATTGCCCCGAGAGGTCAGCGTCAATCAAGGATCCTGTTTTTGTGAGAGTTGGACCATCCTGCCACTTCCACCTCCGATTGGCGTGTGAGGCCTCTAACAAATGGCCCCGAGAAGGCCCAGAAAGGCCAATGAGGCCCCATCGCCTGGAGGCTCCAGAAGAGCATCCCAAGAGGGCCCCAGGCTGTTTCCAGACGAGGGACCACGACACCACAGAGTAGGCCCCCAGCCTCTGTGCAGATGGCATCCAGCGTGGCGCCAGGAGGACCCCAACGGCTCCCCAGTTGCTCCAAGGGAGCCCAAACATTGGGCACCGGAGACCTCCCCTTGGAGTCCCAGGCGTGTCGCCCCGGGAGGATCCCGAGACGCGGCCAGGCGGCCCAACGCAGGCATTTTTGCTGGACCGCTCGTGTCCATCTAGCGAATGTGTTCTGATTCGGCGTTTCGACATTGGGCGACGGGGGGGGCGAGGGAAGGGGGGTCTCGCTCCAAACTTCTGCTCAATGCGACTGTTTGGAACCGTGCGTCTCATGGGGGAAACTCCACCTGCTCGAACCGGGCGCCAACAACAGCCAAGATCTACTCCATGGGGGGGAGGTGGGGGTGCGAGGGCCTGATGGAGAAACGCGAAGCATCAGGACTCTGGCGGCCCAACGAGGACATGCAGGCCACGAAGCTTGCACGACTTGCGCGCGCCCGTCCCAGCAGCCACAGCTGGCCCCAAATAGAGCAGTTATCCATGAGACAGCGGTGGAACTTCATGCGGGCAGATTCGTGCCGTTCTGGGTTCGATGTTGGTTTCTGACTCCGCGGGGATCGTTTCACATTGAACGATCGGCCGTTCCCGGAACATCAGGTCGTTCAACATCGAGCGATTCTGGGTCGCTGGCGGCGTTCGACGTTGCGCGCCGCCGGCGGCGGGGTCGGCGCCAATCTTAGGAGGCAACTACTGGGAGGTTTTCGTCGGAAAGGTTAAGGAGGATTGAGCCCCTTTTGGGAGCTGTTACGCCGGAATGGGCCTCGGACTAGGCAGGACTCAGCCGGATGAAGCGGGATAAAGCGGGACTGAGCCGGATTCAGCGGGATTCAGCGGGATTACATTCCTGGCACTGCAACGCAGCACATGACCACGACAGTTGCGTCCTGACGCTCCTAAGTTACACCAGAGAAATACTGTAGGGACTTCAACCCAACGAATTCTTGAAACCGTTGTACATTTTGCTCAACGAATGCGCGAGGCGCGCAGGCGAAAGCCACGTTTTGGAAAGGCGCCGCCCTCCATCCTTGAAGCTGATGCAAACGTTGAGAGAGAATGTGCGCGGCGCCGAAACGAACGCGACAAAGTGAGAACCGTCCGCGCTCCATCCTTGAAGCGCTGCAGAGTTGAAGTTTCAGCATTCTGACTGGTGACGGGGACACCGGGGTATCTCAGGCGAAACGCCTGGCCCGCTCTACCATCACGTCTGGGGGCGCGACAGGGAGGGTCTATGCATGAGGAGATGGATGGGGGAGGCATGCAGCAGGGAGGAAGAGGAGGAGGAGGAGGAGGAAAAGGAGAAGGGGGAGGAGGAGGACGAGGAGGAGGAGGAGGAGGAGGAGGCGGAGGAGGAGGAGGAGGAGGCGGAGGAGGAGGAGGAGGAAGCTGCGGCGGCGCCGGCTGCCGCCAGCCGACGGCCAGGCACCTGCTCCCGAGGGTCGTGGCCCTTGCCCGGCGCGGAGGCGCCCATGCCGGCCTGGCGCGGGAAGCGCAGGCAGAGGCGTGCGGGGAGGGGCGAGCTGGAAGGCGATGGGCTCCCTGCTCCTCCCCCTCCTCCCCTCCTCCTCCTCCTCCTCCTCCTCCTCCTCCTCCTCCTCCTCCTCCTCCTCCCCCTCCTCCTCCGCCTCCTCCTCCTCCTCCTCCTCCTCCTCCTCCTCCTCCTCCTCCTCCTCCTCCTCCTCCTCCGCCTCCTCCTCCTCCCCCTCCCCTCCTCCCCTCCTCCTCCTTCTGACCTCCTCCTCCTCTCCTCCTCCTCCTCCTCCCTCCTTCCCCCTCCTCCTCCTCCTCCTCCTCCTCCTCCTCCCCCTCCCCCTCCCCCCCCCCTCCCCCTCCCCCTCCCCCTCCTCCGCCTCCTCCTCCTCCTCCTCCTCCTCCTCCTCCTCCTCTCCTCCTCCTCCTCCTCCTCGCCTCCTCCTCCTCCTCCTCCTCCTCCTCCTCCTCCTCCTCCTCCTCCTCCTCCCCTGCTCCGCTCGGCGGCGGCACGGCTCAGCTCTCGGCGCGCCGGCCGTGGGGGCCCGGCGCGGAGGGCGGAGGCGCGGGGCAGGGAGGCGGGCAGCGGCGCGCCGAAGGCGAGCAGGACACGGAGGGGGGGGGACGCCCCCAGAGCAGCCCAAGACAGCCCTCAAGGGCCCAAAAGGACCTACAGTCGGCCCCAAGACTGCCCAAGACGGACCCAAAAGCGGCCAATACAGCCCCCACACGGGACTAAACGACTCCAAGAAGGCCCCGAAACGGCCCAGGGAAGCTTTGAGGTCCCTGGCCCTTTTTGTTCGGGCCTCTGCTGACATGATCTTGGGGTTTGGAACAGTTCAGCGAGGATATAGCTCAGCGCCTACCGAAGGCAGGGTCGGTCTAGCGAGATTCGTGCAAGACCAACCTGCAGCTACTCAGCCCAGCTCGCCAGTCTACAGGGCAAGTTCAGCGGCGACCCATTTGCTGGATGGAATATAGACTTAGGTCGAGCCCGTCCCCCTTGCAGGGGATTTTGGACCAAAAATAAAACAAGTTGTTTTCTTTTTCGGGTTAAATAAATGAATATATACATATATATATATATATATATATATATATAACAATTCACCCCCCCCCCAAAAAAAAAATCCCCTGACTATGCCATGACTATTTTTGAATATTCCTCCCGTAGAGGAACACGCCCGGCTTACAATTACAATATAGACCACGGGCGGCCCCGTGCGCGAGCCCGAGGCGGGGCCCCACACGGGGGGGGAGGGGGGGGGGGCTTCCAGGGAGGCCACGCGGAGACCCCTCGGGCAACCCGTGCGCGGGGAGGGACGACCGCACGGGGAGGCCCTCTAAAAGAGAGTGAGACTGCGCAGGGGGCTCTTTGGCACGAGGGGGCCTTCTGCGGAGACCCTGTCGTTGCCCCACGGGGGCCCTCTGCTCGGGCCCCAGATTGGGCCTCCGTGGGGGGAGGGGGCACCGCTGGGGGACCGCACGGGGAGACCCTCTAAAAAAGAGACTGCGCAGGGGGCTCTCTGCACGGGGGGGCCTTCTGCGGAGACCCTGTCGTTGCCCCATGGGGGCCCTCTGCTCGGGCCCCAGATTGGGCCCCTGTGGGGGGAGGGGCACCGCTGGGGGACCGCACGGGGAGACCCTCTAAAAGAGAGACTGCGCAGGGGGCTCTCTGCACGGTGGGGCCTTATGCGGAGACCCTGTCGTTAACCCATGGGGGCCCTCTGCTCGGGCCCCAGATTGGGCCTCCGTGGGGGGAGGGGGCACAGATGGGGGACCGCACGGAGAGGCCCTAGAAGAGAGAGACTGTGCAGGGGGCTCTCTGCACAGGGGGGTGGCCGTATTCCAGATCCCTTATGAATCGTTCCCCGGGTTCGGCTTTTTAGGGCGCCTTTTTCGTCACTGGGGAGGTCCGGTTTATTGGGGCGCTTTCTTTGGATTGGAGCTTAGGGGGCCTGGTTTATTCAGGCGCCCCATCGAAGAGGGGGGTCCGGAACATCAGGTCGCATCTGGAGGGGGGGCGGTTTTTGAGGGGGGGTCGATGAATAGGGGATCTGGAATAGGCGGAGGCCCTGTCATTACCCCATGGGGGCCCCATGCTTGGGCCCCAGATTGGGCCTCTGTGGGGGGAGGGGCACCGCGGGGGGCCCGAGGGGGGGCCGGCCCCCGTGGGGAGCCCCGCGGGGAGGCCCGTGCTGATGCTCCGGCCGGCTCGCCGCTGCGCATCGGCTCGCCCCGAGCCGAGAGTGGCAACGCTGGCCTCTCACCACGCGCATCTTCCATCTGTGCCTCGGGCGCTTGTTGGGCGGGAGCCTCGAAAGATGTGGTCACGGTCCAAAACATCTGCGGGGTCTGTTCCGCGCGCCGCCCCTGGGGCCTCTGGACGTTGCTCCATCGGCGCCAAGTGCGGATCAAGCATGTGGCCACAGCCCATCTGCGCAGCTCCTCTGCGCCACGGAGACTCCACAAGCACATTTGGAGAGTTCACGGTCTGGGGCGTTGGCGGGAACGGGTCGTAGGACGCCTTGAGGGCCTGGCGAACCTTCTCGATGCCGGATCTCCGGGCATCAATCCGCCGCCGCGCCGCGAGGCGGGAAGTGGGACTGCGAGACCGAAATCGGCAATTTCCTCGGCGCGGCAGCGCGCCCTTGGGATCGGCCCCGCCGACCCCCCAAAGAGTCCGAGGAGCACCCGAGAGAGCCCGAGAGGCCTTTCAAAGACGGCCCAAGAGCGATCCAGTGCGCCCACGATGGCCCCCCAAAGGCCCGGGCCCCAACGACCTCCACAATGGCCCAACGATGCCTCCGAGATGGTTCCCTGAGCGCCTCTCTTCGCCATCGTTGGCTCCACCGCGCTTCGCCAGACACATAGCATGGGCATCGTGTCTGGATGGGCTGGTGGGCATGCGCGCAGCGCCAAGATAGGAGGGTCGATGTTTCCCCCCCCACTGGGACAAGAGGGGGAAGTGGAGGAGGAGGAGGAGGAGGAGGAGGAGGAGGAGGAGGAGGACGAGGAGGAGGAGGAGGAGGAGGAGGAGGAGGAGGAGGATGTCTGGACATCTCGCCCGAGGCTGCGCGTCTCTTCCGCGGTCCGCCCCGCGTGCCGCAGCGACAGCGCACGCCACGTGCAAGAGCCGAGGCCGCAGGCACTCCGCCTGCCGCGACACGCGCGGGACGATCAACAGGGGATGCGTCGACCCCTATCCCAGGCTCTGTGAGGTTTTCGAGAGGATCAACAATTTGGGGCCCAACCCTGGGATACACGAGGGGGGGCGCGTCCATCCTCGACAGGGGTGCGTCCGAATAGCCCCCTCGGGATGTATCCCAAGATTCCTCCCCTTTTCTGAGCGACCAAACTTTTCTGGCGGAAGTCGGGGATTGGGGGAGAGAAATCGCCTGCGAACGATCACGAAAGACGGCCCACCATCGAAAGCTGGGCGAGGGCTGCTGAAACCGTGGCTGCTAAAGCGGCCCTCCCGGAAGGAAAAAACCACTTCCAAGACTGGCGCGCGGCACGCGAAACAGTCAACGGACTTTTTGCTGGCAGGACGATGAAGACAACTTCCCAGAGGTCGATTTTAGCAACCACGGATTTAGCAGTCCCTGCCCGGCTTCCGACACCACCCAACAGTCCCTGCAAGATTTTCCGACGAGGAATCGCGATAAGGTCAGGTGTTGCAAGTGGCGAATGCTTCCCGACGGGAGGCTCCGAAACAGAAACGCAGATTCCGCCGGGGGGGGGGCCGACGGGACGATTAAACCGAAAAACATACACCTACATTCGAACATCCAACTGTTAGCGTGCATGCGCTCTTCTGCCACAATGTGTGAACTCTATTCACACATATCCTATTAGAGTTTCCCTTTGTCCGGGTTGTGATGCAGTGTACGCTGGTGAGCCCTATGCAAGGCTGAGTGTCTAATACCCTAGATGATGTAAAACTGGTCATGTTGAACCGATGTACACTTCAATGGCTTGACTTGGATATTCCAAACTTCAAACTTGAAACGCAAACACGTTCAATGTCTTACTGGAAGTTAGGCTTTTGTGGATGTGCGGGTTGTAACTAAAAGAGTGTGGCGAACCTTGCAAGTGTGCGACTCACAGAAATAGCTGGTAAAAGGAAAAGGTAGCTAAGACTGACCATAATCATTCAAAACTACTTAGTGGCTGTCTTTCTCGTGGCATCCTGCAATGATACATCGTTTCTTGGGTGGGGCAAGTGCTACGTATGTGATGTCAATCCTAGCAGCATGTGCTTGATAGTATAACGCAGATGGCTCGTCTGTGCCTTACATGCCCACTTGTCCCACTTGTCAACACGTGCAAGCTGCGTGCGACATTGCAAAGCGTGCGCTCATCCCAGAGGGGACCTGCAGGGGTTCTGATGGCCTCCAGGAACGTCGGCTGGGGATCTGCGGGAAGGAGCGCAAGGTAGGATGGGGGCGGGAGGGAGGTGGAGTCCCAGAGTGTCATGAGCTATTCTTGCGAATCCACGGGGTGCGAAAGCGGCTCCTGCGGGTGCAGTAACGAGCTGGGCGGCCCAAGAGGGATGTTGCCAGGAGAAGTCGTGGGTAAACGGGTAAAGGAGCGAGCTGGGCGGCCCAAGAGGGATGTTGCCAGGAGAGGTCGTGGGTCAACTTGGGCGGGCAAGCTGTGGCGGACCTCGGGGAACTTTCAGAGGCTACGACCGAGGTTGGGTGGTAGTTGTGGCCAGGCTGGGCGACATCATGTGGAGCTGCAACATATCCTGGGCATCTGCTGTGACCCGGGGGGGGGGAGGCCAAAGAGGACAGGGGGCACTGGGCGAGGGGGAAGCGCGGGCGAGGCCGATGCGCCACAGAGAGAGAGGCGACAAGGAGGTGGGCCAGAGGAAGCGACGGGAAAAGGGGAGGGCGAGCGGAATGGAAGGGGGGGTGCGCCTCGAAGAGAGCGGCTACGGCAGGTTCGGCTCGTGCCGACTTCTCGGCGTTGGTGTCCGAACGTCGCGGGGATCGTTCAACC